CTTTCTCGAAAAGGCTCCCCAGGAGAGCCAACATGCCGTCCGAAACTCCCGCATGCTTCCGAAGGCGGTGTAGCAGCCCAGCCCGCCACGTGCGTGGGAACGCTTCGTGGAGGTCACCGAAGATGACCCACAGGGGCCGTCCCTGCGCCGCCGCTGCTGAAGCAAGCTTGTGGAGAACCAGGTGAGCATCACCGACGTCCCGGACGTACCCACTTTGTCCTGGGAGCACCGAGCCCTGCAGGTGCCCAAAGAGGCGTCGGTGAATCACGGACTCTTGAATGAGCCCCATCTGTGCCTTCACCATGATCAGGCAGAAGGATGATGGCAGGTCCACTGGGCCCTCCTTGTGGAGAGGAACTGCGCAGCTCCCGCGCCAGCCTTCAGGCCTCTTCAGGGGAGGGGAGGGGGAAAGGGATGGGGAGAAGGAGGAGGAGGAGGAGGAGGAGGGGGAGAGGAGGAGGAGGAGGAGGAGGAGGAGGAGGAGGAGGAGGAGGAGGAGGAGGAGGAGGAGGAGGAGGAGGGGGAGGAGGAGGGGGAGGAGGGGAGGAGAGGAGGAGGAGGAAGGAGGAGGAGGAGGAGACGGAGGAGGAGGAGTACGAGGAGGAGGAGGGGAAAAGGAGGAGGAGGAGGAAGGAAAAGGAGGAGGAGGAGGAGGAGGAGGAGGAGGAGGAGGAGGAGGAGGAGGGGGAGGGGGAAGGAGCAGGAGGAGGAGGAGCGGGGCCACCGCGAGCGGAACCTGGCCAGCGCGGCCAGGGCCCAGGCCGCGGCTCGGGCCGCTCGGGCGAGGCGCGGCCGCGGCGGAGCCCGCGCGGAGGCGCAAGCCGCGGCCGCGCCGCCAGGATGCGGCGCCGCCATGGCGTGCCGCCGCGAGGGTGCGGCGCTGCGGCCCCACTTGAGCCAAAAGGCTACGCAGCAGCGGGCGCCCGCACGAGCGGCGAGCAGATCCATATGCACGCCCTCGCAGGCTGGACTTGGGTCGGGCATGTCCTCCTACAGGCGGAATGTGGAGCAACAAATCGAATTATCCCAGCAAAGCAACCTAACAGCGATGTGTGGGAGCATATCTGGAAGCATTCCCCTTAAGATTCAGATGAGAATCCTGTTGAAGAATTCTCCTGTTCTCGCAGTCGTAGTCGCATTCGCGATGGCAGTCGCAGTGGCAACGGCAGTCGCAGTCACAGCCTCAGCCTCAGCCTGCCTCAGCCTCAGCCTCAGCCTGCCTCAGCCTCAGCCTCAGCCTCAGCCTGCTTCAGCCTCAACATCAGGTTGCCTTCAGCCTCGGCCTCAGCCTGCCTCAGCCTCAGCCTCAGCCTGCTTCAGCCTCAACATCAGTCTGCATCAGCCTCAGCCTCAGCCTCAGCCTCCCTCAGCATCAGCCTGCCTCAGCCTCAGCCTGCATCAGCCTCAGCCTCAGCCTCAGCCTGCTTCAGCCTCAGCCTCAGTCTGCCTTCAGCCTCAGCCTCAATCTGCCTTCAGCCTCGGCCTCAGCCTCAGCATGCCTCAGCCTCAGCCTGCATCAGCCTCAGCCTGACCCTCAGCCTCCCTCAGCATCAGCCTGCCTCAGCCTCAGCCTGCATCAGCCTCAGCCTCAGCCTCAGCCTGCTTCAGCCTCAGCCTCAGCCTCAGTCTGCCTTCAGCCTCGGCCTCATCCTCAGCGTGCCTCAGCCTCAGCCTGCATCAGCCTCAGCCTGACCCTCAGCCTGCATCAGCATCAGCCTGCCTCAGCCTCAGCCTCAGCCTGCCTCAGCCTCAGCCTCAGCCTCAGCCTGCTTCAGCCTCAGCCTCAGTCTGCCTTCAGCCTCGGCTTCATCCTCAGCGTGCCTCAGCCTCAGCCTGCATCAGCCTCAGCCTCAGCCTCAGCCTGCCTCAGCATCAGCCTGCCTCAGCCTCAGCCTCAGCCTCAGCCTGCTCAGCCTCAGCCTGCTTCAGCCTCAGCCTCAGTCTGCCTTCAGCCTCGGCCTCAGCCTCAGCCTGCTCAAGCGCAGCATCAGCTTCATATAGCATTCAAAATGTGGCCGGGAAATGGAGTTCTGGGGACTCGAAGACCACGAAGTGGCCTACAGTTGGCTCCGGGCATTCAAAATGTGGCCCGGGAATGGAGTTCTGGGAAATCGAAGAGCACGAAGTGGCCTACAGTTGGCTCCGGGCATTCAGAATGTGGCCCGGGAATGGAATTCTGGGACCTCGAAGACCACGAAGTGGCCTGCAGTTGGCTCCGGGCATTCAGAATGTGGCCCGGGAGTGGAGTTCTGGGACCTCGAAGACCACGAAGTGGCCTGCAGTTGGCTCCGGGCATTCAGAATGTGGCCCGGGAGTGGAGTTCTGGGACCTCGAAGACCACGAAGTGGCCTACAGTTGGCTCCGGGCATTCAGAATGTGGCCCGGGAATGGAATTCTGGGACCTCGAAGACCACGAAGTGGCCTGCAGTTGGCTCCGGGCATTCAGAATGTGGCCCGGGAGTGGAGTTCTGGGACCTCGAAGACCACGAAGTGTGTAACTGTTGGCTAAAAAAAATCCCCGGCACTTCCCCGGATCGCGCCCAGACCCCCTGGGGCGTCATGATGCTCTCTTTTGACCCTTCTAGAAACCTACCAGTCTTCGCTGTCAGGTAACATACTCCAAAAGCGCCCCCAAATATTCAAAAATATTGAAGAAACCGTCCCCAGACTATGATGTTTGAAATATGTTTGAGAATTCCTGCTGTAGTGGGACACGCCCGACCTAAGGCTACGCAGCAGCGGGCGCCCGCACATGCAAGCTCGCACGAGCAGCGAGCAGATCCATATCCACGCCCTCGCGGGCTGGACTCTGGGGCGCGATCCACAGGATACGCGGTCGCACGGGTGCGTTCCGCGCAGGGCGTCCACGAACAAGAACACTCAATATCCGCAGAGTCGCGGCCCAGGGGCCTGGCCTGCGGGTCCGCGGGGACGGACGTGTTGAATATTTGCGGGTCCAAAGCAGACGCGCACGGCTGTGCTTAAGCAGACGCATCCTCGAGGATGCCATGGCTGCAACCAAGGGGACACCCAGATGGCCCCGAGAGAGCCCCACAGTACCACAGCAAGCCCAGAAAGCATGCACCCGCAGAGCCCCGAACATCGATGGTGACCGAGCGCGTGCATTACCCGCATGATCCTCGCCACACTTGTCGGTGTCGTCACCGCCGCCGTCGCCGCCGTTGACCTCGTCGTCGGCCGTCGCCATCGCAGCCATCGCCCCAGACCACTGGCGCCATGACTTGTTTACAGCGTCGGCTCCCAGAAGTCTCAACCCCCTCCCAGGACCAGCTCGTCTTCCTGACTCGTCTCTGGACGGCCCCAGGGAACAACGATGGCCAACGCCCGTCGCGTTTTCCCAACCAACCTGTGTTGTTGGGTCCTCGTTTTGAAGAGACGGTCCCCGCGTTGCTCCTCCTCTCCAACTCTCCTCTCATCCTGCCCCTCCTTCCTCCACCCTGCGTTTCACCCACGCAGTACAGCGCTGCGTGGCCCCATAGAGAGCTCCACCGAAGGCCCCAGTGCTACCGTCCACATGCGTCCCCCACACCCATTTCGGCACACCCCTCACACGCTTCGTGGCCCCATAAGGAGCTCCACCGAAGGCCCCAGTGCCACCGTCCACATGCGTCCCCCACACCCATTTCGGCACACCCCTCACCCATTTCGTTGCCCCATAGGGAGCTCCACCGAAGGCCCCAGTGCTACCGTCCACATGCGTCCCCCACACCCATGTCGGCACACCCCTCACACGCTTCGTGGCCCCATAGGGAGCTCCACCGAAGGCCCCAGTGCTACCGTCCACATGCGTCCCCCACACCCATTCGGCACACCCCTCACACGTTTTCGTGGCCCATAGGGTGCTTCACCGAAGGCCCAATGTCACCTCCACATGCGTCCCCCACACCCATTTCGGAACACCCCTCACACGTTTCGTGGCCCCATAGGGTGCTTCACCGAAGGCCCCAATGTCACCGTCCACATGCGTCCCCCACACCCATTTCGGAACACCCCTCACCCATTTCGTTGCCCAATAGGGAGCTCCACCGAAGGCCCCAGTGCTACCGTCCACATGCGTCTCCCACACCCATTTCGGCACACCCCTCACACGTTTCGTGGGAGCTCCACCGAAGGCCCCAGTGCCACCGTCCACATGCGTCCCCCACACCCATTTCGGCACACCCCTCACACGTTTCGTGGCCCCATAGGGAGCTCCACCGAAGGCCCCAATGCCACCGTCCACATGCGTCCCAAACACCAATTCCGGCACACCCCTCACACGTTTCGTGGCCCAATAGGGTGCTTCACCGAAGGCCCCAGTGCCACCGTCCACATGCGTCCCCCTCACCCATTCGGCACACCCCTCACGCGCTTCGTGGCCCTATAGGGAGCTCCACCGAAGGCCCCAGTGCTACCGTCCACATGCGTCCCCCACATCTATTCCGGCACACCCATCAAACGTTTCGTGGCTCCATAGGGCGCTCCACCGAAGGCCCGAGTGCCACCGTCCACATGCATCCCCCACACCCACTTCGGAACACCCCTCACCCATTTTGTGGCCCCATAGGGAATTCCATCGAAGGCCCCAGTGCCGCCGTCCACTTGCGTTCCCCACACCTATGTCCGCACACCTCTCACATGTTTCGTGGCCCCATCGGGTGCTTCACCGAAGGCCCAAGCGCCACCGTCCACATGCGTCCCCAAACCCATGTCGGCACACCCCTCACACGTCTCGTGGCCCCATAGGGAGCGCCACCGAAGAAGATATTCACAATTGCCGTACGAACAACTGCATGTGATTGGGTCCTTCGCCAGGCTAATTTTCACGACGCGAGGGGGTCGTGGTTTGATGAGGGACTGAGGGCGCGGGGGAGGGGGGGGGGGGGCTGAGGGCGCGACGGAGGAGGAGGAGGTGGAGGAGGCCGAGGAGGAGGAGAGGGGGCCGTGGTTGTTGTCGTGATCGTCGTGGCCGCCGTGGGCGTGGCCGTCGCTCTGCGGGCCTTCCTCTCGCCGTCCTGGCTGCGGAGGGCGGCCAGCTCGATCAGCGCCTGCGCGCCCCCCGCCAGGCCAGGCCTCCGAGATGGGGCCCGAGGATCGCGCCGCGTCGCCAATGCATCGCCGATGTATCGGCGACGCGTCGGCGATGCACTGGCGACGTCGGCGAGGCATCGGCGACGTGGGCGTGGAGGAAATGGGGCCCCACATAGAGCCGCATCGCCGATGCATCCGCGATACGGCGCTATCCTCCGACACCATCTACTCCGACCCCATCTAGGGGTCCTAGAATTAGAGGGGGGAATAACTCAGGGGGGGAAACGTCCAGTTTGAATCGGCGATGCACTGCTTGAGACGCCCGAGCTGAGTACGGAAAAAACAGGTACAAAGCCCACCAACAACAGATGTTGGGCAGGCGGCCGCCGCGGCCTTGTGTCTCAAAATGACAACATCCGAAGCGACGCCGACAGCGAATCCGGTGCAAAATGAACAGGCAGTGCTGTCGGTGCTTGTACCCATTCTTTCCGTACCCATTTCGATCGTCCCGAACCGCCGACAGATCGGCGATTGGCTTCCGAGAGCGAAAAAACGGACGTTCCTGGGCGGGGTGGCATATCAGGCCCATCTCGGCGAGCTATGGGCGGTTGGGGGGTGATGCGCCCCCCACTGAACCTATCCCCCCACTGAACCTACCGCCCCGCATAGGGGGTAACTAATTATTTGTTCGGCTTCGGTGGCCGTAATGAAGGACTGGGGTCCAGAAGGTACCTAAACTCTTTTCCGCGGCACCCGCCGCGCAACAACGACGACGACATTTGCGACTACTGCTTCGACGACTACGACGACTCCTGAGGAGGAGGTTCGAGGACCAGTCATATTCACCGTCGAGAGAAAAGAGGGGGGGGCCAGAAACCAAAGACCTTTAGCGATTAACGTCGCCCCGAGGCCAGCGGAAGGGGGCTGGGAGGCTCCGGCGCCCTGACCACGAGCTCACGGCGCCAGGCTTTTGCCGTCGCAACAAGAGCGGGGCGGCTGCTCTGAGGGCGACATCCAGTCCCAACTTCTGATGCACCAATAAAGGCGCCCTAACCCTGTGGGAGGGGACCTAAGGTAGGAGGACCAAAAACATTCTGGATAGGGGCTCTGCTTTGCAGATGTATCGAACCAAACCGCCAAGAGTTGTCCCTAATGCAAAGACGAGGACACCAGTGAGGCCACGTCTTCACTGTATTAGTAGGGTTAGAGGTTCTTTGATTCTCGATGAGCTACCCCCACCAGCCTTCCTGAATCGATGGGAGCTGGGGATGGGGCCCGTATTTCGCCACGTGCTCGCCAAAGTCCGAACTCTACCCCCATCGCCCATCGGACTTCGGGAAGACGTAAGACTCGGGTCCAGGAAACTAGGGCTGGCCTGACGGCGCCATCATGAAAATGACGAGACCCCTCCAGAGAATCCTCGGACTGCTCCCGCAGGTGCCCCGCTGCATGCGGCCGCCGTGCAAGGGCCGAGGCTTCGGTCGGGCGTGTCCTCCCGCAGGCGGCTTCTGGGAGAAAAAATCAAAGTAGGCGCATAATATTCAAAATTAGTCAAACATGGTGAACAAATCGCCCCCAAACTATTTTTTGCCTATTTTTGAACATTCTTCCTGTAGAGGGGCATGCCCGACTTAAGCCGAAGCCTTTGCCAAAAACCAATACCAATAGGTGCCACCATGCCTGCCTCCCCCACCGCCACCACGCCTCCCACGGATTGCACAACAAAAGCGGCATGCTTTCGCCGTCTTCGGCCTCATGGGGCCCTCGCCGGGCACCGGGACCGTCAACAAACGACCTTGCCATCGGTCAGCCGTCCATTCCCCTTGCATTTTTCGGTTTCGTGTGTGTGTGCGTTTGCTCGGTGATCCAGGATGCTCCTCGACGGTCCTCGCCTAGGACAACCGGACACGTCCGAGCGATGCCAGGGCACCCGGCGGCAGCCGGCGCGCCTTGGCCATCTCCCAAGTCTGCTGTGGCGGCGGGGCAAGCTTAGCTCGTCCATGCGAGCTTGAAGCTGACACATCGTTGCCTCGAGAGCCTCCGGCACGGCCTCGACGACAGCAACGGGCACGTCGATCTCCTCAAGCGACGGGCCAACAACTCCAGCGGCAGCGACACGCTGATCAGCGCGATCGGTTCCAGAAGCTGCCGCGCATGCAGCAGGACAATCCTGCGAAAGCGCCGCCATGTTGGCAGGCGCAGGCACTGAGCTGCAAGCGAGGAGGCCAACAATCCTCGGGATGCACACGGCGTTCGTCCAGGCGGCCCGCCACCCCGAACGCAGTGAGCTTGCCCTGATGGAGATCCCTGGGCTTCTGTGTCGGCCGAGCAGGGCGAGCGGATTACCCCCAGGATTGGCGGAGCGCAGGGGGGGGGGTAGGGTGAGCGGGGAAGGCTTCTTAGAAGGAGGCTGCTCCGCAGAAGGCGCGGGCCCTGCAACTACAGACACGGCCCCCGCCTTCTAAGAAGCAGCCTCCTTCCAAGACGTCTTTCCCCTTCGCCCTGCCCCCCTCTGCGCGTGGCCGACGGAGCTGCAGCGTCACCGTGAACAGGAGCGTGCGGCAAAACCTGCGAATCATGAGCATCGCGCGTCCTCTGATCAGCGTCCGCGACGACGGCTCCCGGATGCCGAAACCACATGCGTACGTCACTGCAGTTGCTGGCGTGAGGCCGATGACCACGGTCAGTGGTCACTCCAAGAACGAGGCGGGCCGTCAAGGTGTTGAGAGTCGCAAGGGCGAGATTTCTGGCGGCAGGGGCCGTGTGGGGGGGTAGCATGCCGAAGTACTAAGCAGACCTTACCATGCACTCGATCGGCTGGAGAAAAACTGCTGACGGTCGTGGGAGCACCGCTCTCCCCGTGCTTCCAGATCCACTTCAAAAGCGGCTAAGCACAACCATCGGTGAGCAACACTGGAAGTGAGACAGCACGTGCACCTCGAAAGCCCGTGAAAGAAGCAAATGCCTCAGTCCACGTGGCTCTCGTCCCCTTCCTCCTCCTCCTCCTCCTCCTCCTCCTCCTCCTCCTCCTCCTCCTCCTCCTCCTCCTCCTCCTCCGTCCTCCTCTCCTCCTCGTCCTCCTCCTCCTCCTCCCCCTCCCCTCCTCCTCCCCCTCCTCCTCCTCCTCCTCCATCTCCATCTCCTCCTCCTCCTCCTCCTCCTCCGACGACGACGACGACACGCCGACTAGAATGTCCACGCTGCCGACGCTGACCCTGCCTACGCCGCCAACGCCGACCCCCACCTCCAACACAACTTCGGCCCCGAGACAAGACGAGGCCAGGACGAATAGAAACTCAGGCGAGGAGAATCCGGTGGCTCCGGAGGCTGTGCGTCGGGCGCCGCGGCCTCCTCGGAGCGTTCCAGCACGCCCTGCGAGCGTTCTGGAACGCACTGGGACGGACTTTTACCCCCGTCCTAGCCCCGCCCGACAAGACCTCTCCTGACTACCTACCAGACCACCCCAACCCAACCCGAAGACCCGAATTTCGGGTTGGTGTTTTTGCGATGTTTCCCGACCCCCCCCCACTGGAAATCGAGGGTAAATCTGAGCCTTCGGGTTGGGTTGGGGTGGTTTGGTGGGTGGTGATCTCCTGGTCCGCGCTCTTCAACTACACGCACGATTGACCCTCGGTAAGGGTACCCTTTGCTGCGCGGCGTCTTCGGGTGCCGCGCGGGGGGTGCCAACCCCAAGCGCGCTAGACGCCACTGCCGCCTCGCGTTCGGCGATCGGGGGACCCCAATGGGCCCGCACGAAAGGTCATTCCGGCGAAGGGTCACTCCTCTTTCATGAGAGGCCTCCTGGATGGGTTCGGAGTAGGTGGGGTCGGAGGATCGCGCCGCATCGCCGATACATCGGCGATACATCGATGCATCGGCACTACATCGGCGGCGGCGCCAGCGTGGAGAAAATCGGGCTCCACATCGAGCCGCATCGCCGATGCATCGACGATGCAGCGCGATCCTCCGACCCCATCCACTCTGCGTGCAGTCGAGCTCTGGCCACACAACCTCGAGGACGTTCCGGCCTGGGCGACAGAGGGACCTCATTGAGGCCCACGGCGAGAGCGCGGGGCACCCCACAAAAGCCTCGACCAGTCGAGCCTCCTCGGCATGTGAGGCACGACGACGGCGGCGACGGCGCCGCCTGCCGCGACGGCGGCGAGGCCGACGACGGCTTGCAGGCGCCCAATGGCACACAGATCAGTAGATTCACGAGTCCATCCCCGGATTTCTCTCTTTCCACATCTTCTGAAGCTTCGCCTGCCCCTCCTCTTCCCATAGTTGTTCCCACGTTTACTTGGGAGTTGAGGTTTAGTGAACGTTTTCTTAGTCGGCGTTTCGGCATTGGGCGGAAGAAGGGGCAGGGGGCGGGGGTATGGCTCCAGACCTCTGCTTAGCGCGACTGTCTGCCGCAGTGCGTCCCATGGGGGAGACTACACCTGCCTGAAACAGGCGACAAAAACAGCCAAGATCCACTTCATGGGGGGGAGGGGGTGCGAGGGCCCGCGCCGACCAGTAAAACATTTTTGCGTCGGCGGCTCGGCAGGGGGTGACTGCGCTGGCGATGAACGGCTTAAAGGGGACTGCCGTTGGAGCGAATTGTATCACCATGCCAGAGGAGCAGGGAGAAAGGACGTGGCAGAAGGAAAACGGATAGGAACGGGGCGGGCGACTTAGGAGTCAGAAGGCGCCTAAAACAGTCAAGATCTACTCTCGGCGGTGGACAAACCTCCCTTTAGTAAACCATCCTTTGGTGAAAACGGCCTGGGGCAAAAACCGACGGACCTGGACCCGCAAGGACGACGGCCGCCACGCCCTCGCGCGAACCGAGAACGGTCAATGCGCTAATCGACTTGTCAGGGTAGGAGGTCTGTCCACCCCCGATACTCCATGGAGGGGGAGGGGGTGACAGGGCACGCGCCGATCGGCAGAACACCGAATGAGAACACGGTCACATATAGAGGCCCTCGAGGTGCTCTGCAGGCCGTGCTGGAACACTCGTCGGCCTGCCCTCGTGCGCGCCTCCACCTCCTCCGCCGCCGCCTCCTCCTCCTCCTCCTCCTCATCCACATCCTCCTCCATCTCCTCCTCCTCCTCCTCCTCCTCCTCCTCCTCCTCCGCCTCCTCCTCCTCCTCCTTCACCTCCTCCTCCTCCTCATCATCATCTGCCTCCCCCTCCTCCTGCCCCTCCTCTCCTCCTCCTCCTCCTCCTCCTCCTCCTCCTCCTCCATCTCCCTCCTCCTCCTCTCCTCCCTCCTCCTCCCCCTCCTCCTCCTCCCCCGCCTCCTCCTCCCCCCTCCCTCCTCCGCTCCTCCCCCTCCTCCTCCTCTCCTCCTCCTCCTCCTCCTCCTCCTCCTCCTGCTCCTCCTCCTCCTGCTCCTCCTCCTCCACCTCCAACTCCTCCTCCTCCTCCTCCTCCTCCTCCTCCTCCTCCTCCTCCTCCTCCTCTCCCTCGTCCTCCTCCCTCCTCCTCCTCCCCTCCTCCTCCCTCCTCCTCCTCCTCCTCCTCCTCCTCCTCCTCCTCCTCCTCCTCCTCCTCCCCCGCCTCCTCCTCCCCGCCTCCTCCCCCTTCCTCCTCCTCCTCCTCCCCTCCTCCTCCTCCTCCTCCTCCTCCTCCTCCTCCTCCTCCTCCTCCTCCTCCTTCTCCCCCTCCTCCTCCTCCTCCTCCACCTCCAGCTCGTCCTCCTCCTCTCTCCTCCTCCTCCTCCTCCTCCTCCCTCCTCCTCCTCCTCCCCCTCCTCCTCCCCCTCCTCCGTGTGTTTCTCGTTCCTCCCGAGGCCGCGGAGCGCGGCGGCGGGGGCCGCGCAGGGTGGAACGGGCCTCGGCCAGCAGCGCCTCTGGGTCGGGAAGCCCTGGCTGCGGCGCCGCCTGCGCTCGCGGGAGGCAGCTCGGGCTGCAGCCCCGGCCCCACGCGTGCCGAGCGGGGTGGGGGATGCCGGGTGGATCCATACAGTCGGACTCGATTGGACAGGGCACGCGAGAGGGCACACATTGCCGCAGGAATGCAGGAAGCATGGGTCGCGAGACACAGGACACAAGGGTGCCCTTGATCTGGCAGGGACGACCTACTAACCTGGGCCGACTGTACACTGTGGGCCCATCCCCCAAACTCGAGCAGGGGGCCGAGAGCGAGGGATCGAGGGGCCGAGGGATCGAGCGAGGGGTCAAGGGCGCCTTCTCTTCGCGCTGCGCGCTTCGCGCTGCGCGCTGCACGAGGCGCGAATCACTTTTCGCGCTCTCGCGCCCCCGCCCCCCTAGGAAGAGGAAGAGGAGGAGGAGGAGGAGGAAAAGGAGAAGGAATCGGAGCCGAACCGCGAAGCGCGAATCACTTCGCGCCCTCGAGGTCGCCCCCTTGGGGCTTGCGGGACCCCGCCAAAACTCACCCGAAGCTTGATTGACGGATCGAGGACTGATGGGTTGACCAGGGACCGGTCGTCACAGCATCACTATATGCATCTGAGAAGCCAAACAGGTTCGAAAAACAATAACAATGATCTTATAACATTCACCCGATGTGTTAAAACAAGACCACCTCAGCCACACATGTTCTAAGCACATTTCGTGCAGACCACGAAAGGTCCTTAGAACATTCTTTGGTAGGCCTATAGGCGAGCTGGGACGCTTCGCCACTGCTTGAATGGGCCGAGGGGTCAAGCGAGGACCGATTGATACCAAAGGACCGCTGGGCCGCGGGGCTCCTCGCCGCGAAGGCCAGATCCGCCTCGAAGGATGCTGGCCAGGACGCACCAGCCCAGGAGAGGTCACGGGGCTCCGCTGTAACGTCCCCCGAGCCCAGAGCTGTTCAGTAGTGTTGTTTTGTTATCTGCCTCTCTACCCCCTCTCTCTCCTCCTCCTCCTCCTCTTCTTCTTCTTCATATTTTTCTTCTTCTTCTTATTCTTCCCTTATGCGTATTATAGCTATTACTATTATTACTACCATTCTTATTGATCCTTCTCTTCCTCCCCCTCCTCCTCCTGCTCCTGGTCCTCTTCTCCCCCTACTGCTCCTGCTCCTGCTCCTGCTCCTGCTCCTGCTCCTGCTCCTGCTGCTGCTCCTGCTCCTGCTCCTGCTCCTGCTCCTCCTCCTCCTCCTCCTCCTCCTCCTCCTCCTCCTCCTCCTCCTCCTCCTCCTCTCCATTCGTCACTAATCAGCCACTGGCGCCACGTTTCGTCCATTTCCTGGTGTGACTGTTCGCCCACGTTTTCCTGCCAATGCGTCAGACGGCATGTGGCTTTTGAGTGAGTGAGCCAAAGCCCTCTGGCGTCAAGGTAAAGAACCGCGGGACGCATTTGGCAACGTTCGGCCTCCGGGGGCCCTCGCAAGGCCACGCGACCGTAACAACAGCTGCTCGCGATGAGAGATCGTCCCCGACGGGTCGAGACCTCCAGGAAACAAGATCTAGGGGGATCCGAGGAAGATCGAAGATGGGAACGTTGACGGAACATTGAAACGGAAAGGAGCCGCCACTAGGATAGATCGAAGAAGATCGAAGATCAAAGGCTTTGCGCCTTCCCGCAAATCCGCGCGTCTTACAAACCATCGTGACGGCCGTCTGTCCGATGCTCATGACCTGCGGAAACTGTCTTGGTCACAGGGATGACCAACCGACCCTCGGGAAAGGGTCGAGACAAGATCCCTGGGCCTGCGTCACGCAAACATTGCGAGGTCGGATGAGAGATTCAGCAGCCAATGGGAAGGATCAAAGAGAACCACGGGTATATGATCGGTTGCGTTGGGTTTTAGGGGAGCTGTCAGACACATCTGGATGCATCCAGAGAACTCGGGAGATCTCCTAGACCAAAAGAAAAGCGAAAGTAGTTGGCTGGGCGTGGGGCGAATGGCGGACTCCCGAGAATTCGGCGGCGAGCGGGGGGAAATGAGAAGGAGAAGGCCTTCTGAAGGCGGCGGGAGTTCTAGGAGCCCTCTCTCTCTCAGGCGGCGGGAAGGTTCGTTGTCATCGGGGCAGGCTTGGGCAAGTTCTCGGAAGGCCGGGGGACTTCCGAACCTTCTGAGAAGGCCTCCTCTCTCTCACGTCCCCTCTCGCTCGCCGCCGAGAGAAGGCCCCTGCCCTCTCGAAGCTTCGCCCCCCGAACCACCCCCTTCTGCGCGCCGTTGAAGCCAGGAGCCGTCGGCATCCAACTGCTAACATCAGGTCGGGCATGTCCTCCTACATGCGGATTCGGGAAGCAACACAAACAATAGCCAAAAGCTGCTCACACATGATCGAAAATAGTGAAACAATCGTCCCCAGATTATTGTTTGCCTATTTCTGGATATTCCTCCCTGTAGAGGGAAAGGCCCGACTTAATGCCAAAGCCGATCGGGTCAGACCGGAGACGCATCGCATCGGGCCGTATCGGCAACGCCACGGTGCAAAACCACGCCGTGCAAGTATCGGGCCACGTCGGCGTCGTCGAACACTCAAACATCGAACGGAGCCAAGTCAGCAAAAACTCGATTGAATGGGTCGATCGACGCGGAATGAGCCTAAGACAACGGGCATGTTGCTTCGGATTCGACGGGACAGGTGCACCTCGGAATCCCCTGGTCAGGACGCTCTCCAGAAAAAGGTTCCCAGTGGATTTTGAGGCAAGGAGGAGGAGGATCACGAGGAGAAGCAGAAGGAAACAGATGTCTACGGTTTCCTGGTGTCTTCCGAAGCCCATGGAAGTTTCACTGTTATTTAGAATGTAAAGGGGCACTTCCATCTGGAGAGAGGGAGGAGGGAGAACGGGAGAGAAGAGTCGTGGGTTGGAGACAGAGGGACCAGGGAAGAAGTATGAGAATGGGGGATGAGCAGGGTATGAGGATCCTCATGTTTCACCCTTTCCTCCTCCCAACCTCTCTCTCATCCTCCTCTATCCTCCTGCTCCATCCTCCTCCATTGGAGGTAACCCGTCTTCCAACATAGCCCCGAAGCGCCTCAAGATAGTCGAAGGCATTCGACAACCTCCTCTTCCTCCTCCTCATCCTCCTCCTCCTCTTCCTCCTTCTCCTCCTCCTATTCTTCCTCCTCCTCCTCCCTCCCCCTCCACTGCTCCTCTGGAAAGCTTCGAGAACGGTCGAAACCCTAGGTCAATTGAGAACCTGTGAAGAAACTTCCAAAAGCCACTGGAACGCGTCGAGACCCTCTTCCTCCCCCACCCCCCCCGACGCCGCCAGTCCTCCTCTTCGTGGGCCCGGAGGCCTCGCCCTCTTCCCCGGGACCGGTTGTTCACGCTGCCTCGTTGGCTCGCTTCACTTCCCAATTCTTGATCAACTGCGTCAGCAGGAACAACGGGAGAGGGAACAGGGCTGGACCTAAACGTTGTTGTTCGTTGTGTGTGTCGCTTTTCTCTCCCTGTTTTCCTATAATCTCCTGCCAAAACGAACAATAACACATAGCCGAAGTCCAGCAAAACAACGTTTAGGTCCAGCCCTGAGAGGGAGAGATCAAATCGGGGGGGGGCACGCAGATCCAGCTTTGCTCCGCCTTCCTGAGATAGCGTTTTTGACGCCCCGCGGCGCGGCGAGGACCCCCTGAGGCCGACAATGGCAAAATACTTCGGGTCGCGTTTTTTCCCAACCATCCTGTGGTGTTGGGTCCCCGTTTTGAAAAGACGGCGCCCCGCGTCTGCTCCTCCCTCCTCCCCCTCCTCCCTCCTCCCATCCCTGCCTCTGCTCTCCGCCTGTCCATTTCGGCACACCCCTCACGCGCTTCGTGGCCCCATAGGAAGCTACACCTAAGACCTCAAAGGCAGCGCCCGCATGGAACCACAGCGCCCGCTTCGGCACATACCTCACGCGATTCGTGGCCCCATAGGGAGCTCCAGCGAAGGCCCCAGTAGCAGCGCCCGCATGGCACCACCTCACCCGTTTCGGCACACGCCTCACACATTTTGTTACCCCATAGAGAGCTCCACCGAAAGCCCCAAAGGCAGCGCCCGCATGGCACCACCGCGACCGTGTCAGCACACCCCTCACACGCTTCGGGGTCCCATACGGAGCTCCAGCGAAGGCCCCGGAAGCAGCGCCCGCATGGCACCACCGCACCCGCCTCCGCACACACCTCAAACGTTTCGGGCCCCATAGGGAGCTCCGCCGAAAGCCCCAGTGGCAACGCCCGCATGGCACCACCGCGCACGTTTCGGCACACCCCTCACGCGTTTCGTGCCCCATAGGGAGCTTCACCGAAAGCCCCTGGTGGCAGCGCCCGCATGGCACCATTGCGCCCTTTTCGGCACATCCCTCAAAAGTTTCGTGCCCCATATATGGGAGCTCTACCGAAAGCCCCCGGTGGCAGCGCCCGCATGGTATCGCCCGTTTCGGCACACCCTTCCCATGTTTCGGGCCCCATAGGGAGCTCCACCGAAGGCTCCAGAGCAGCGCCCGCAGGGCACCACCAATGCCGTTTCGGCACACCACTTACACGCTTCGTGCCCAATAGGGAGCTCCACCGAAAGCCCCAGAGGCAGCGCCCGCATGCCGCACCGCACCCGTTTCGGCACACCCCTCACGCGTTTCGTGGCCCCAACAAAAACTCCACCGAAGGCCCCAGTGGCAGCGCCCGCAGGGCACCGCCGAGCCATTTTCGGCACACCCCTCACACGTTCCGTGCCCCATAGGGAGCTCCACCGAAGGCCCCAGAGGCAGCCCCCGCATGGCACCACCACATCCGTTCGGCACACCCCTCACACGTTTCGGGCCCCATAGGGAGCAACGAAGGCCCCAGTGGCAACGTCCGCACGGCACCACCGCGCCCTTTCCGGCACACCCCTCACATGTTTCGTGCCCCATAGGGGGCTCCAACGAAGGCCCCAGAGGCAGCGCCCGCATGGTGCATCGCACCCGGTTCGGCACACCCCTCACACATTTTGTGCCCCGAAGAGAGCTCCACCGAAGGCCCCAGAGGCAGCGCCCGCATGGCACCACCGCGACCGTGTCAGCACACCCCGCACACGCTTCGGGGTCCCATACGGAGCTAACCCTAAGGCCCCCGGTGGCAGCGCCCGCATGGCACCACCGCACCCGTTTCGTCACACCTCTCACGCGCTTCGTGTCCCCATAAAGAGCTCCACCGAAGAGGATGCGCACCACCGCGGCATCCACAACTGCAGAAGGTTGGGTCTTTCGCCGACGCACTTAACCACGCGAGGGGGGCTGGGTCTGCCGCGCCTTCTCCAGCACGCTCACCGCCCTCAGCAAGAAACCGTGGCTGGCCTCTCGCGGGCGTGCGCGACTGGCCGTTGCGGCCCCCACTGCCGCGAGGCCCCAGCTGCCGGCAGGGGAGCCGCTGGAGCGTCAAGGAGTAGAGAAACGATACGTGTATATGGGTGTGTATATATATATGTGTGTCGATCTACACATATGTGTATATATACAGAGAGAGGGGACCAGAAAGAGAAAAAGAGAGAGAAGGAGAGGGGGAGAGAGAGAGAGAGAGAGAGAGATAATGCCAGAAGCCACGCGAGAGAGGAAGGCACACACAAGAGAACATGTTGTAATTACCTGTTCCCACCAGGTTACATCAAAATTCGTGCTGACCTTGGAATTGCCTTTGGTTAATCCGGTACACTCCAAGACGGCGCCAACGCGAACATTGACGTTACGTTACTGACGCGAAACGTAGCGCCACGTTTCCCTAACCCTCCCCTCTCCAAATAATGCCCGTTATCGCACTGGACTAAAAGAGCGCTCTCTTAGGAGGCAACTGCTAGGAGGTCTTCGTACGAACGATCAAGCGGTGCTAAATCCGATTCGGGAACCACTGAGCCAAATTAGACCGGAATGGGCCAGGGATGATGCCGGCGGACTGAACGGGATATGAAGCGAGAGTGAGCTGGACGAAGCGGGCTTATGCCGAATGAGGCCCTTTCTCACGGAAATGCCAGCGCCGATGCTGAATCTGACTCCCAAGACATTGGGGCGGGTGGTAAGAGGGGTTGACCCACATGGGGGGTCGAGAAAGAGGCCCCAAATGGGGGCCTTTTTGAGGGCCCCTTTTGGGCCCCTGCTGGCTCCCAAAGGGGCCCTACAGGGCTCCTTGAGGGCCCTTTTCTTCCCCCCGCACTTGGGCCAGCCCTCATTACTGATAAGCCGGGCCTGTCCCTCTACAGGAGGAATATTCAAAAATAATCCCAGCAAAAATCTGGGGACGATCTTCGGAATATGTTTGAGCATTTGTTTGCAGATTGTTTGAACTTTTTGCAGTTTCGTTCAAAATCGGCCTGCAGAGGGACACGACCGACCTAGCATTGCCACCCGCCTGGCGGCCCGGCCTCGAGGTGCTCTGCAAACCCTTCTGGACCTGTCGACGGCTTGCCCTCGCGCGCGCTCCGCGGCTCCCTCGCGCCTCCTGGGCCCTGCCAATGCTCCTCTTGCCTTCGGGAGCGGCGGCACTGGCCTCTAGGCCTCTCATGCAGGAGGGGTCCTGCAGCCCAAGGTGCGGGCAAGGCTTAAACAGGGGACGCCAGTCCACAAGACACCTACCACAAGAAGCCCAACCCTGAGACCCCAAGGCGATCATGGATTTTTGGCGCGGGCACGTCACGTTTTCAACCGCAAAACCATCGAAACCCAAGAAACCCTGGGTGTTTGTTGGCATGGACCTCCACTGTATCCAGTGCGTCCTGGACTTTTTGTGTGGAAGGGGCGCCACAAGGCCGAGGCGCAATGGATGTGGATCAAAATCGAGCCTCCTGGCGGGGGGGGGCGGCAAATCTATCCATCTCCAGTGCGCCTCGGGGTTTTGGGGAAGGGAACCCGACACTCCATACTGCAGTGGATACGGACAGGAGTATTGCCCGCACAAGGGCTGCCATGATGTGAAGGGGCCTCGCGCAAAGAGCGATGCCCCTTGTCGGGCTTCGGCTTGGACACAAGCGCACAAACTGGTGGAAATAGCTGTTCACAAATGTTTGTATAGTATATCGGTATGTGTGGATGTTTTTTTTTTTTTTTTTTTTTTTTTTTTTTTTTTTTTTTTTTTTTTTTTTTTTTTTTTTTTTTTTTTTTTTTTTTTTTTTTTTTTTTTTTTAAAATTTAGTTATGTGTATATATACATACATGAATGAATGAATGAATGAATGAATGAATGAATGAAAGGATGAATTAATGAATGGATGAATGGATGAATGAGTCGCGTCGCGCACATGGGGCGCCAAGCCTCAACACATAGACCTTGAAACTTCAGACTTTGCTTGAACTCCAGGGTGCCGCTGTTTCGCTGCTAGAGCCTGAGCTTGTGATTCCGCGTGCAAGCCGGATGTGCTTTGAGGAGGCCCACGTCGGTGCGAAGCGCGCAGCGCCAATCACGACCACCACAAAGAAGCCTAGTGCGTTTGCATTGCATCTGTCTGGCCAATGCAATTGTGGTCTGCTCCGGTATGCCGCTAGAGCTAGAACATCTGATTCCCCGCGCGCACCGAATATGGTTTGAGGAGGTCCTGGGAGGTGCGAAACTCCTCCTCCTCCTCCTCCTCTTCCTCCTTCCCGATGGCTGAATGCAGGTTCGGGTGCCACCCCATTCAAACATGCCAACGAAACAATTGGTGAGAGTTGGGAGCCCAGGTCACGAGAGGGGCGACGGGCAGCGTGGCGGAACGCAAACTCCTCCTCCTCCTCCTCCTCCTCCTCCTCCTCCTCCTCCTCCTCCCGCACGGGAGGCCCGAGGCGAGGGGGATGGGGCGGGCGGCGCCGCGCGTCCTCGGCGTCCCGGGGCGCGCCGAAGAGCCGGTGGGCCCGGCCCAGCCGCAGCAGCGCCAGCCCCACGGCGGCGTGGGCTGGGCAGGCGGGGGGGGGGGAGGGGGTGGCGCCCGCCGCGGGCGGGCGGCGCCCGTGCACCGTGCCCAGGCTTTTGAGCTCCCGCTGGGCCCCGCTCGAACGCGGTGCGGCGCGCACTTTGCCGGGTCTCCTCCCCCCTCCCCTCCTCCTCCTCCTCCTCCTGCTCCTCCTCCTCCTCCTCCTCCTCCTGCTCCTCCTCCTCCTTCTACTGCTCCTCCTCCTCCTCCTCCTCCTTCTCCTCCTCCTCCTCCTCCGCTCCTGCACCGTATGAATAACTTCTCCCCGTCGCATCCCGATCCCAATCGAAAGGCGTGCCAAGCGTTTCGCCTGAGACTTCCTTCGCCACTCATGAGTCTCAAACTCAAAATCTGGGGACTCTTTCGCAGATGGAGGGCGAACCGCTTCCAAAACATGTGGTTTTCGCCTTAGCGCCGCGCAGATTGGTCTTCAAGACTTGCCAAAGCTTCACGGATTCAGGGCAGGCGATTTTCAAAACTTGGCTTTCGCCTCAGCACCGCGCGCATTCGATTCAAACAACTGCACAATAACTTCACATATGGAGGGCGGGTGTTTTTCAAAATGCAGCTCTCGCCGTAGCGCTGTGCACACTAACTTTTAAGAATTTCACGGATGGAGGGCGGGTGGTTTTCAAAATGCGGATCTCGCCTTCTCACCGCGCACATTCGTGTTCAACTTTAGCAAGAGCTTCACGGATTGAGGGCGGCTCCTCTTCAAAATGTGGCGCTCGCTTTAGGGCCGCGCGCATTCGTTTCAAAAAATTACAAGAATTCCACTGGTTCTCGTTGCTAACATTCCAGAAACAGTGTTCCGGAGCAAGTCTGGATTGTCAGGGCGCAGCGGTTACGTTGAATTGCGATGCTTTAGTCCCATGAATGGTGTTCTGGTTCGATTCTGGATCGTCAAGACGCAACAATCAGATTGACTCGTGGCGTTGACGTCCTGAGAATGGTGTTCTGGCGCCCTTGAGGAGTTTCACCCGGCTGTCTCCAACCGGGGTACTCCCTCAGCGAATATGAGCCAATACAAGGGGTTGTGGAGAGGGAGCTTGGAGGGAGGGTGTATTCCATCATCGTTGATGGAACTTTGGTTTACACTGACTGGTTCGCCCTCCTCAACCTCCTCCCCTTCCACATCCACAGCATTGTCATTATCATCGTCGTCACCATCTTCATCAACATCATCATCATCATCACCATCATCAGCATCATCATCACAATAACCATAACTATCATCATGATCGTTATAATCAGCATCATCAACATCATCATCAACACCAACATCACCATGACCACCACCATGACCACCATCATTATCATCATCAACCACATCACCATAACCATCACCATCATCATCAACAACATCATCATCAACATCAACGCCACGGGCAACATGGTCCACTGTGGGCCGGATCTAGGGCCGAAGTCATGCACGGTACTATTACTGGGTCGTAGTTCGACGACGCCTCGGGAGACGCCAACGCGGTATGGCGCACATAAATTGTTCGCGGTTCATCCATCTCTCAACCCCCTTGCGACTTGACATTCAAACTAATGACCAAAGGATTCGGGCTAGCCGCGAAAAGTATTCAGAACCCCCCCCCCGCAGTAGAATGTAACCAATTATTGTTTCGGCGGTCTGATGGAATGACTGGGGTCCCACCAATGTGGGGTATCGGATCCCCAACCCTCCATTGATTGCGTTCTCGTTTTGAACAGAGCAATATGGACCCCGCCTCCTCCGTCCTTCCTCCCGCCTCCTTTCTCCCTCCTCCCCGCCTCCTCCCCTCCCCAACAGCCCCCTCCCTTTCCTGTTTAGTCCTCCCCCTCGTCGAGACCTCGCGGCCTTCTGGTCGGCTGCGGACCGCGCGACTGTCGCATTTTCGTGGGCACCTTGTAGATTCAGCGGAATGGACGTCCATGCAGATCTAACGAGACCTCACGGCTCCCTGCGGGGTTGCGAACCGCGCAACTGTTGCCAATGTCATGGGCGCCTGGGAGGTTCAACGGAGAGAAACTCCACGCAGACTCAACCGAGACCTCGAGGCTCCCTGCGGGGCTGCGAACCGCGCGACTGTCGCAACGTTCGTAGGCTCCAAGTAGATTCAGCGGAATGGAGATCCACGCAGATCTTCCGAGAACTTGCGGCTCTCTGCGGGGTTGCGAATCGCGCAACTCCCGTCATTTTCGCTGGCTCCTGCGAATGCAACGCAACGCAGGTCCACGCAGATCTGCCGAAACCTCGCGGCTCCTAGAAAAAATGCGAACCGCGCAACTGTGGACATTACCGTGGGCCCGGCAAGATGGAAATCCACGCAGATCTGCCCAGACCTCAAAGTTCCCTGCGGGGCTGCGGTCGCGCAACTGTCGACATTGCCGTGGGCTGCTGGGAAGCCCAACAAGATGGAAATCCACGCAAATATGCCGAGACCTCACGGCTCCCTGCGGGGCTGCTAACCGCGCGTCTGTCGTCATGTTCGTGGGCTCCTGGGAGGTCCAACGGAGTGGAGGTCCCGCAGATCTGCCGAGACACCTCGGCTCCCTGCGGAGTTGCGAACCGCGCGACTGTCCCCATTTTCGTGGGCTCCTGGGAGGTTCAGCGGAGAGAACATCCACGCAGACTCAGCCGAGACCTCGCGGCCCTCCCGTGGGTTTGCGAACCGCGCGACTGTGACCATTTTCGTGGGCTCCTGGGAGGCCCAGCGGAACGGAGGTCCCCGCATATCTGCCGAGACCCCTCGGCTCTCTGCAGGGTTGCGAACCGCACAACTGTCGTCATGTTCGTGGGCTCCTGGGAGGTCCAGCGGAGTGAAAGTCCACGCGGGCTCAGCTGAGACCTCGCGGCCCCCCGTGGGCTTGCAAATCGCATTATGGTCGCCCACGGTGTGGGCTCCTGGGAGATGCAGCGGCGTGGAGGCCCACGCGGACCCAGCCTAGACCTTCAGGCTCCCTGGGGGGCTGCGAAACGCGCATGTTTAATCATTTCGTTTGTATCGAGCGGCCCTTACTAGAGCTGGCCCAACTCAGAACACGATTGGGTACGCCACCGAGTAAGTGGTTTGTTTCGCGGCACCCGCCGCGAAACACTACTTATGCCGCAGGAGCGCTCACATGGGGCATCCGAGCTCTGCAATTCGATACTCAGAAACTCTGTCCTCGGAAGCTCCATCCTCAGAAGGACTGTGGAAGCTCAGGCCCACCAAGGCCCTCCGAAACCCCATCCTCAGAAAGGTTGTGAGCAACGCCTTCGGCAACGAACCCGTCGATCTGTAGTGCAATCCTCTTACAAACGTGCCCACGATCCCTATGTCGTCCAGGGTGGCCCACAGGGAATTATTCCCTGGGAGAAGGAGCCCCCCAACACGATCCAGCCCGCCCAACAATACAGAAAAAACAACCACCCCTCTGGGCGCAGGTGGTCTAGAGCGTTTCCTTTTCCAACCCCAGTCCTTTCCCTGCTCGGGAGGCTTAACTCCCTCCGCTCCCTGGGTCTGGAAGGGGGGGGGGGCGAGGGGTTGGAGCGTCCAAGATGGCCCAAGATAGCTCCAAGAGGGTTTGAGATAGCCCAAGATGGCTTCCAAAATGGCCCACGATACTTCGAGATGGCTCAAGGTAGCCTTCGGCACGCATCCACGAAGCCCCAAGACGACAGCAAGACGGTTTCAAGTGCCCCCCGAACCCTCCAAGGACCCCCCCAAGAGGCCAAAATGGGTTCAAAATCTAGGAACATCTATGTGTTGTGCCTTTCCGTGATTTCGCTTCCGATGGGCTCTTGAGGCGTCAAGATGGCCCCAAGATGGCCCCACATAGCCCCAAGAGAGGCCCAAGAGGGCGCCACAACGGCCCCAAGAGCGCCCAAGAGCGCCCCAAGAGCGGTCCAAGAGGGCCCCAAGACGCCTTTTTCAGGCCTCCGAGGGGGAGGACCTAGATTTAAGACCCCCCTTGATTTGTGAGCGAACGGCCCCAAGACGGCCCCAAGATGCCTCCCATACCACCCAAAAGAACCCCAAGAGGGCCCCAAGACTCCCCAAAAGGGCTCCAAGAGAGCCTCAAGAGAGCCCCAAGAGACCCCCAAGATGACCCCAAGATGTTGCCCAAATGGCATTACGAGTCTTCGAAGAAGCCTTCACCACGACATCTGCCCAAAACCCGACTTCTCGTCCTCCTCCTTGCGACTTTCCTGCCGTCTCCCTGCTCCTCTTCATCCTCCTCGCGCCGCTTTCCTATTGCTGTTTCTCCTCCTTCCCCTCCTCCGTTTCTGTGTTTCCTCCTCCTCCTCCTACCCCCAAGATGGCCCAAGACATCACCAGCACCACCGCCACCACCAGCAGCCGCACGCGAGTTTAAGATAAACTTTGGTGCGGGGGCATAGATCAAGGATGCATGCGGGGATGCGACTCTCAACTGCGATACAAGGGCGACGAATGATAGATACAGCCACCTGCGCCAGAGACGGCGTATCTTACACCGGCGTATCTTGCACCGGCGTATCTTGCACCGGCTCCCATCTTAAACTCCGCTGCGGGAAGCTATGTGTGATCCTTGTTTCTCCTGGCACAGGGTGGATACAACCACCTGCGCTAGAGACGTTTATCACGGGGAGCACCACGTCGTATCTTGCACCGATTTCCATCTTAACCAGCCATGCGGGAAGCCAATTGTGATCCTTGTTTTCCTGAAGACGGCCTGATTCACCAACTCCATGCTTCCAGGCGCCCCTAATTCACCAACTCCCATGCTGATCGTTTCTAGATCGGCTGGTGGGGATACACGAAGCGTGAAGACTTGGTACCAGCTGGGACGATGACAACGCTTACGACTACGACTTACATTACGACTGCGACTACAACCACAACAACGGTTACGACTATAATCGCGACTCCAATCACGATGAACATCACGGCTCTAACCACGATTCCACTCACGACTCTGACCACAGCCACGGGTTACGCGTGTAATCATCATTCAGAATGTTCTCGCGT